TAAATAATAAATCGTAACTTCTCTCTCCTGAGACCTCCCTTACCGAATTTGGGGCCCGAGCTCCTTCGCACCCTGATATAGTTGAATGTTTATATATTGATTTTTTATATTGAATGTATTGCATTATTATTATATATATATAGAGAGAGAGAGAATGTTTAAAGATCTGGCTGTATGAAATAAGGAATGGAACTTGGACATTGCTTTTAACCATATTTTTTATTATAATAACAATTATTATTATTATTATTATTAATAATAATAATAATAATAATAATAATAATAATAATAATAAATCTCTCCAAGGGGACTCAGGGCGGCTCACAACACAAACGGCAAACATTCAAATCAATATCGTGTAACTTGTCATTATTGTTTTTATATGATTGTTTTTTTGTGGAATGTTCTCTACCGCCTACTTGAATTGTTTAGTCTGTTGTTGTTTTTTTATGGCATTGAATGTTTGCCCCTTTATGTTGTGAGCTGCCTGAGTCCCCACAGCGAGATGGGGCGGGATAGAAATAAAGTTTTACTTACTCACTCCCGACAGGCGGCCATCCATCCACTTCTGTAAAAAAAAAAAAAAAATCTGCTTTCTTCCTTAGGAGGAGGTGAAGGTGAAGATGAAGGAGCTGAACGAGCACATTGTGTGTTTCCTGTGCGCCGGGTACTTCATTGACGCCACCACTATCACCGAGTGCCTCCACACCTGTGAGTTGCATTGAGGAAGGGGCAAAGGCTATTAGTGTTGGCGTTCATTGGCTTTTCTTTGCGGGGATTGGTCAACTTTCACTCTCCAGGTGTTTTGGACTACAACTCCCACAATTCCTGACAGCTTAAGTGGCTGAGGAGGAAAAGGAAAGGGATTGTGGGAGTTGAAGTTCAAAACACCTGGAGGGAGGGCTGAAGTTTGCCCATGCCTGCTCTATAGCAAATTGCATATTGAATGTGAACATGCAACGTGATGTGTTTATATGTATACTAGCCATCCCCTGCCACGCGTTGCTGTGGTCCACATGGGGGTTCTGTGTGGGAGGTTTGGCCCAATTCTTTCGTTGGTGGGGTTCGGAATGTTCTGTGATTGTAGGTGAACTATAAATCCCAGCAACTACAACTCCCAAATGTCAAGTTTCTATTTTCCCCAAACTCCACCAGTTGGGCATATTGAGTATTCATCTAGAGCAGTGGTTCTCAACCTTCGTAATGCCGCGACCCCTTAATACAGTGCCTCACGTTGTGGTGACCCCCAACCATAAAATTATTATTATTGCTACTTCCTAATTATAATTGTGTTACTGTTATGAATCACAATGTAAAAAATCTGAAATGCAGGATGTATTTTCATTCACTGGACCAAATTTGGCACAAATACCCAAAAACAGCACTCCATGCCGTCATGTCAGCTACATGACCTTGGAGGTGTCTGTGAACAACACCGGCTCTTTGGCCTAGAAATTGAGCACCAACTCCCAGAGTTGGACACAACTGGACTTAATGTCAGGGGAAAACTTTTACCTTACGTTATCCAATACACCCAAATTTGAATACTGGTGGGGTTGGAGGGAAAATTGATTATGTCATTTGGAAGTTGTCGTTGCTGGGATTTATAGTTCACCTACAATTAAAGAGCATTTTGAACTCCACCAATGATGGAATTGGACCAAACTTGGCACACAGAACTCCCACAACCAACGAAAAATACTGGAATGGTCTGGTGAGCACTGACCTTGAGTTTGGGAGATGTAGTTCACCTGCATCCAGAGAGCATTGCAGACTCACACAATGATGGATCTGGTCCACACTTGGCACAGATACTCAATATGCCCCAATGTGAACACTGGTGGAGTTTGTTGAAAATAGACCTTGACATTTGGGATATGCAGTTGCTGGGATTTATAGTTCACCTGCAACGAAGAGCCCTCGCTTGCTCCGCACCCCTGCCGGCCGGCGGGAGAGCGGAGCAGCCGAGGGCGCCTGGAGAAGGCCTTGCTCCCAAGGCCCTCGCCTGCTCCGCCCCCCCCCCCGCCGCCCAGGGAGAGCGGAGCAGGCAAGGGCACCTGGAGAAGGCCTTGCTCCAAAGGCCCTCGCCTGCTCCGCCCCCCCACCGGCCGGCGGGAGAGCAGAGCAGGCGAGGGGCGCCCAAGGAGCCACTCACCCATCCCTCACCTCCTTCTGCCATCAGAAGGAAGCAAGGGACAGGCAGATGGCTTCGCGTGTGGCCTAGCCGCCCGCGGAGCCGCTCGCCCGTCCCTCGCCTCCTTCTGGAGATGAGGGACAGGCAGATGGCTTCGCGCGGGGGAATGCCAGTGGCGCAGGGGGTCGGCCGCCATTTTGGAGGGGGCGTGGCCAGCCAATGCGGCTTCGCGACCCCCAGAAAATGGCCAAACGACCCCCTGAGGGGTCGCGACCCCCAGGTTGAGAACCGCTGATCTAGAGTTTGGTCCAGATCCATCATTGTTTGAGTGCACAGTGATCTCTGGATGTAGGTGAAGTACAACTCCCAAACTCAAAGTCAATGCCCACCAAATCATTCCAGTATATATCTGTTGGTTATGGGAGTCCTGTGTGCCAAGTTTGGTTCAATTCCATCGATGGTGGGGTTCAGAATACTCTTTGATTGTAGGTGAACTTTAAATCCCAGAAACTACAAGTCCCAAATGACAAAATCAGTTTGTTTTTTTTAGTGAAGTACACGCATTAGGTTGTTAGGTGTCTTGTGTCCAAATTTGGTGCCAATTCGTCTAGTGGTTTTTGAGTTCTGTTAATGCCACAAATGAACATTACGTTTTTATTTATATAGATGATGACAAATGGCGCATCCTATGCATTGGATCCTGGCACAGCACTCCTTGCAGGGGGCACACACAGAGGAGGCAGTCATGGATAAATGTTGTTGTCGTCATTGTCGTTGTTGTTGTTGTTATTGCTACCCTCCTGGGAAGAAAGAGCAATAGTGGTTCCCAGGCAGTGTGGTGCTCGGGCTCCTTCCCTGCTTTGAATCTCCTTATGGAGAGAAAAATGTGGATGTAAATAAACATCATCCTCATCATCTTTTTCCCTCCTTGCAGTTTGCAAGAGCTGCATTGTGAAGTACCTTCAGACCAGCAAGTACTGCCCCATGTGCAGCACCAAGATCCACGAGACGCAGCCCCTCCTCAACCTCAAGCTGGACCGCGTCATGCAGGACATCGTCTTCAAGCTGGTGCCGGATCTCCAGGAGAGTAAGTGACTGGCAGGACTATAGCGTCCAAGGCTCTAGGCCAACTTCAGCCCTCCAGGTGTTTTGGACTTCAACTCCCACCATTCCTAACAGCCGGTAGGCTGTTAGGAATGGTGGGAGTTGGAGTCCAAAACACTTGGAGGGCTGAAGTTGGCCCATACCTGCTCTAGGGTCTCTGATGGCAGTGGCACCTGTGGGATCACCCTCTTGTTTTGGTTTGGGAGCTGCGGGGAAACAAACCGTGTGGCTGTGTTTATTGTCATCCCACTGCTAGATGAAGAGAAGAGGATCCGAGAGTTCTATCAATCCCGAGGACTGGAGCGCGTCAGCCAACCGAGCAACGAAGGTGAGCGGCTTTCCTCTTCCTAGAATGATAGAATCCTAGAGTTGCGAGAAACCCCAGTCCAACCCCATTCTGCCGTGCAAGAAGACACAATCCGAGCCCTCCCGATAGGTGGCCATCTAGCCAATAGTAATAATAGTAGTAATAATAATATCATAGAATCCTAGAGCTGGAAGAGAGCCCCAGTCTAACCCTATCTTGACACTCAGGAAGACACAATCCGAACCCTCCCGATAGGTGGCCATCTAGCCAATAGTAATAATAGTAGTAATAATAATATAATAGAATCCTAGAGCTGGAAGAGAGCCCCAGTCTAACCCTATCTTGACACTCAGGAAGACACAATCCGAACCCTCCCGATAGGTGGCCATCTAGCCAATAATAATAATAGTAGTAATAATAATATCATAGAATCCTAGAGCTGGAAGAGAGCCCCAGTCTAACCCTATCTTGACACTCAGGAAGACACAATCCAAGCCCTCCTCCATCTTCTGATAACAACAACAATAACAGAATCCTAGAGCAGGAAGAGGCCCCAAGGGTCATCCAATCCAACCCCCTTCTGCCAGGAAGAAAGACACAATCAAATCCCTCCCAACAGATGGCCAGTATCTGATGATGATGATGATGATGATGATAATAATAATAATAATAATAATAATAATAATATTTTTGTCGTGTCAGGAGCAACTTGAGAAACTGCAAGTTTCTCAATAATAATAACAATCATAATAATCATAATAATCATAATAATAGAAATCCTAGAGCTGGGGGCCATCCAGTCCAACCCTATCTTGACACTCAGGAACACATAATGCAAGCCCAAAAGATGGACAGCTTGCCTCTGATGATGATAATAATAATAATAATAATAATAATAATAATAATAATAATAATAATGGAGAATTGCAAAAGCTGCAAAACAAACCTCTATACAACTTGGATTGATTGCAAAAAAGCATTTGACTCACTGCCACATTGTTGGATCATCAAATGTCTAGATGTCATCGGGGTTTGTGACAAAATTACCATTTGTCAACTGCAAACCATATACAATAGATGCACTCTCTATAAGCACAGCGGTAGAAAGTCACTAGCCGTTTTTCATTCCATGGTTGGTTCGTTAAAAGTCTCAGATGATAATGCAATCTCTGCTGGGCCTTCTTCACAGTATGTCGCAGTGTGAACCAATGCTTCCCAAGTTCAGCTCCTTGAGAATAACACCCAGGAACTTATGGGGTGGGGGGAAGAAGAGAGAGAAGGGCTCCCCCAAGGCAGGCCCACTCCCATGAAGATCCACCTCTGTTCTGACCACTTCCTTCTTTACTATGAGCCAACAATGTGATGTGGCGGCAAAAAAAGCCAATGGGATTTTGGCCTGCATCAATAGGAGCCTAGTGTCTAGATCTAGGGAGGTCATGCTACCCCTCTATTCTGCTTTGGTTAGACCACACCTGGAATATTGTGTCCAATTCTGGGCACCACAATTCAAGAGAGATATTGACAAGCTGGAATGTGTCCAGAGGAGGGCGACTAAAATGATCAGTCTGGAGAACAAGCCCTATGAGGAGTGGCTTAAAGAGCTGGGCATGTTTAGCCTGAAGAAGAGAAGGCTGAGAGGAGATATGAAGGCCATGTATAAATATGTGAGAGGAAGTCATAGGGAGGAGGGAGCAAGCTTGTTTTCTGCTTCCTTGGAGACTAGGACGCGGAGCAATGGCTTCAAACTACAAGAAAGGAGTTTCCACGCGAACATGAGGAAGAACTTCCTGACTGTGAGAGCCGTTCAGCAGTGGAACTCTCTGCCCCGGAGTGTGGTGGAGGCTCCTTCCTTGGAAGCTTTTAAACAGAGGCTGGATGGCCATCTGTCAGGGGTGCTTTGAATGCAATATTCCTGCTTCTTGGCAGAATGGGGTGGACTGGATGATGGCCCATGAGGTCTCTTCCAACTCTTTGATTCTATGATTCTATGATTCTACTTTGTTCCAGGCCCGGCCTCCAACCGCGTGGGGCTGCCCTACACCACCTTCGACCACTCGCGGGCCCACTACTACCGCTTTGACGAGCATGTCCTGCTCTGCCTGGAGAAACAGGGGTGAGTCCTGAGGGTTGGGGCACCGGGGCAGGATTATTTCTTATCTCTAGCAGAGCAGATTGCAGCATAACTGACTGAAAGGTCACGAGTTCAAAGCCAGCCCGGGTTGGAGTGAGCTTCTGACCAATTTCCAACCTTCTCAAACTAAGCACACTCTAAAAACTTTTTGGGAAGAAGAAGGGGAAAGGCAGGAAACCAAACACCTTGATTGCTGTGAGTTTTCTGGGCTGTCTGGCCGTGTTGCAGAAGCATTCTCCCCTGATGTTTTTTTTACCTGCATCTATGGCAGGCATCCTCAGAGGTTGTGAGTTCTGTTGGAAACTAGACAAAGGAGGTTTATATATCTGTGGAAGGTCCAGGGTGGGAAAAAGAACTCTTGTCAGTTGGAGGCAAGTGGGAATGTTGAAATTAATTAGCATTGCAAGGCCTTGCAGCATACTTCGTGATGTGTTGCTTGGATGTCCAGCAGATGGCGCTGTTGTTGATTCCAAGCATGTTTTTACCTGTCACAGATGTGACATCTATATAATAATAAGTATGTCAATATATAAAACATTTGCCTATTCAAATGCTACGTTGTGTCCAAATTCCAAAGCAATCAGTGAAGTATTTTGGGAAATTTGAGATCATTCACAAACAGACATTTACATTTTTAAATAATGCAATGTAATATAATATAATATTATTTTATATAATGTAATATAATATATTGTATATGCATATAATATTTATAATATAATATAATACCGTTTAATAATAATACTAATAATAATATGATATTATAATTATATATTTTATATTACATGTAATATTACTAATAGTATTACAGTATAATGGTATAGTACAATATAGTAATATATAATACTGGTATTGTACTATGCTAATAATATAATATATTGTGTGTGTGTGTGTGTGTGTGTGTATCTATCTTGTAAGCCGCTCTGAGTCCCCTTCGGTGTTGAGAAGGGCGGCATATAAATATCGCAAATAAATAAATAAATTATATATACAGTTTATTATGATGGTTATGATTTCTGCCCTGTGTTGTCTCACTAAAAAGAGACCTAAAGTATGATTCCTTCCCAATTTTTGCCAGTTGTTTGAGAGTTTCTCTCTCTCTCTCTCTCTCTCTCTGTGTGTGTGTAGGGCCTGTCCCAGTCCTTTGGCATTGTTGAGTGTGTGGGGGATATCAGTCTCCTCTTCCTCTCTCTCATTCTTCATCTCTTTCGTTTCAGCTCCGGGAAGGACAAGAGCAAACACATCCTGCAGGTGAGGAGACCCTCAGTGCCCTAAATCCCCAAAAAAGGGAAAGGGACCCCCCAGGAAGAATATTATTTGAGCGGGGGGAGGACTTACAAAAAAGCCTGGTTTACTAGAGGAAGATTGACACTGGGATATTACATTCTAAGAAGTAGCAACCTATGATGTTATAAAGTCTTTTGTATATATGTGTGTGTGGTTGTGTGTTTGTGCGTACACACACAAATACATACATACATACAGGCTTAGGTACCCAGCAATCCCCCAATCAGATATTTTGTAGATATTTCTTAGAGTTGGAAGAGACCTGGTGGGCCATCCGGTCCAACCCCATTCTGCCAAGAAGCAGGAATATTGCATTCAAAGCACCCCTGACAGATGGCCATCCAGCCTCTGCTTAAAAGCCTCCAAAGAAGGAGCCTCCACCACACTCTGGGGCAGAGAGTTCCACTGCTGAACAACTCTAACAGGAAGTTAATCCTAGACTTGGAAGAGACTGGTGGGCCATCCAGTAAAACCCCATTCTGCCAAGAAGCAGGAAAATTGCAGTGAAAGCACCCCCAACAGATGGCCAATCAACCTCTGTTTAAAAGCCTCCAAAGAAGGAGCCTCCACCACACTCTGGGGCAGAGAGTTCCACTGCTGAACAGCTCACACAGTCAGGAAGTTCTTCCTCATGTTCAGGTGGAATCTCCTTTCTTGTAGTTTGAAGCCATTGTTCCATTGTGTCCTAGTCTCTAGGGAAGCAGAAAAGAAGCTTACTCCCTCTTTCCTATGACTCTCTCTCATATATTTACACATGGCTATCATGTCTCCTCTCAGTCTTCTCTTCTTCAGGCTCTTTAAGCCGCTCCTCATAGGGCTTGTTCTCCAGACCCTTGATCATTTGAGTCGCCCTCCTCTGGACACATTCCAGCTTAGAGTCAATATCTCTCTTGAATTGTGGTGCCCAGAATTGGACACAATATTCCAGGTGTGGTCTAACCACGGCAGTATAGAGCATGGGGAGCATGACTTCCCTGGATCTAGACACTAGACCAGTGGTTCTCAACCTGGGGTCCCCAGATGTTTTTGGCCTTCAACTCCCAGAAATCCTAACAGCTGGTAAACTGGCTGAGATTTCCGGGAGTTGTAGACCAAAAACATCTGGGGACCCCAGGTTGAGAACCACTGCACTAGACTCCTATGGATCCCTAACTGGCTGAGATCTGAATGCCCTCTCTCCCTGTTCCCCATTGGCTCTCTGGTCATTCTGTCCCATCTTTTTGCCCCTTCCCGCAGCACAAATACGTCCGCTGCTCCGTCCGGGCCCAGATCCACCACCTCCGAAGGGTCCTGTGCCGCCGCCTGGAGCTGCCCCTGGCGAATGTGAGTAAGACTCGCTGTTTTATTACTGTGGGGAGGGGGATTATTATGGGACCCTCCTTCAATTAGCACTCCCTTTATCTCTAATGGCAACTGTGGTCCCGCTCAGGTCCTGGTCCTGTTTGACAATGCGCCCGTCCCAGACTCCATGACCCTGAAGCAGCTCTGGCTCTCCTGCTGGTTTGGCAAGGTGAGTGGATGGGGGGGGGGGGGCTTCCCCAAACACCCCTCCCCATTATCTCTAAGAAGGGGCCTTAATCTTTCTTTGTTCTCTGCTTGCTTTCCAGCCGGCCCCCCTGCTGCTGCACTACAGCGTGAAGGAGAAGAGGAGGTAGTGGGGAGGGGGGGCATTTTGGGGGCAAAGCAGCCCCCCTCTCTTGCCCTGCACATAAACACACACACTCCCATGACAGTACACTAATTTAAGGCTCCCTTCGCTGCAATATTGGATTTATTTTTGGAATAAAAGAATGGAAAAATCAGTCAGCATCATTTCTTTGGACTGGACTTGCAGTTCCTGGCCCAGACCAGCAGGTGGCAGGAGTGCTTTGTTTACAAATGCTTGCCCACCACCATCCCTCCCTGCACACAGTGATTTAATGCACTGCTGGGCTTGACATCATTATCTTCCCCAGCCCCCTCCTCCCCATTTCAGCCTTGCAAGAAGAAGTAATAAGCAAATAATGGACCCTCTTCCATCATCCCCTATTCTGCCCCCCCCCCCGGGCAAATCACTAAACTCTCCCCCTCCCCAATTAAAGACCCTGGCCCACCAAGGAAGCCTAAGGCCAGCAGCTGTAATGATTAGGTTGGTGTGAGTTTTCCAGACTGTAGATGTAATACAGTATAATATTAATAATAATAATATGATATTATAATTATATATTTATATTACATGTAATATTACTAATACTATTACAATATAATTGTATAACACAATATAGTGATGTATAGCACTGATATTGTACTGTGCTCATGGTATAATGTATTGTGTGTGTGTGTGTGTGTGTGTGTATGTGTATATATATATATATATATATATATATATATATATATATATTGTGTGTGTGTGTGTGTGTGTATCTTGTAAGCCGCTCTGAGTCCCCTTTGGGGTGAGAAGGGCGGCATATAAATGTCGCAAATTTTATTTATTTGTCGTGTCAGGGCAACCAGTCAATTATATTACATTTCTAACAAAGCAAACAAACAGACAAAACACAAAATTTGCAAGCTTGGTAGTTGATTAAATGTCCTTTGACCAGTATCTGGCCCCTCTGGTGTTGCCGCAAGAAGGTCCTCCATTGTGCATGTGGCAGGGCTCAGGGTGCATTGCAGCAGGTGGGTCAGTGGTTTCCTCTTCTCTGCACTCGCATGTCGAGGATTCCACTTTGTAGCCCCATTTCTTGAGGTTGGCTCTGCATCTCGTGGTGCCAGAGCGCAGTCTGTTCAGCGCCTTCCAAGTCGCCCCGTCTTCTGTGTGCCCAGGGGGGAGTCTCTCATTGGGAATCAGCCATGGATTGAGGTTCTGGGTTTGGGCCTGCCACTTTTGGACTCTCGCTTGCTGAGGTGTTCCAGCGAGTGTCTCTGTAGATCTTAGAAAACTATTTCTTGATTTAAGTCGTTGACGTGCTGGCTGATACCCAAACAAGGGATGAGCTGGAGATGGCTCTGCCTTGGTCCTTTCACTATTGGCTGCTACTTCCTGGCGGATGTCAGGTGGTGCAATACCGGCCAAGCAGTGTAATTTCTCCAGTGATGTAGGGCGCAGACATCCCGTGATAATGTGCCATGTCTCATTAAGAGCCACATCCACTGTTTTAGTGTGGTGAGATGTGTTCCACACTGGGCATGCATACTCAGCAGCAGAGTAGCACAGCGCAAGGGCAGATGTCTTCACTGTGTCTGGTTGTGATCCCCAGGTTGTGCCAGTCAGCTTTCGTATGATACTGTTTCTAGCGCCCACTTTTTGCTTGATGTTCAGGCAGTGCTTCATGCAGGTCAGAGCACGGTCCAGAGTGACTCCCAGGGATTTGGGTGTGCTGCAATGCTCCTGTGGGATTCCTTCCTAGGTGAGCCTCAGAGCTTGGGATGCTTGTCTGTTCTTAAGGTGAAAGGCACATGTCTGTGTTTTAGATGGGTTGGGGATCAGCTGGTTTCCCCTGTAGTAGGCAGTAAGAGCACCTAGAGCTTTGGTGAGCTTCTGTTCAACCATCTCAAAGCTCCCTGCTTGAGCGGTGATGGCATGATCATCAGCATAGATGAAGCTCTCTGTCCCTTCTGGCAGTGGCTGGTCATTTGTGTAGATGTTGAACATGGATGGAGCGAGCACGCTCCCCTGAGGCAGGCCGTTCTTCTGTTTCCGCCATCTGCTTCTCTGGCCCTGGAACTCAACAAAAAAGCTCCTGTTTTGTAGCAGGTTTCCTATGAGGCGGGTGAGGTGGTCGTCCTTTGTGAGATCATACATTTTTCTCAGGAGGAGGCAGCGGTTCACAGTATCATAAGCCGCTGATAATATATCTTGTAAGCCACTCTGAGTCCCTTTTGGGGTGAGAAGGGCAGCATATAAATGTTGCAAATAAATAAATAATAAATAGGGCCATACAGCCCAGAAAACTCACAGCAACCCAACGATTCCAGCCATGGAAGCCTTCAATAACGCAGCCATAATGATGTTTGAATCCCATTAAGGACTGCTTCCACTTAGCCCATTGATAGTGTGCTAGTATGTGTATGTAGTGTGTGCTAGCAAGGCCATGGGTCCCAAAACATACTCCTTGAAAAATGTCTAGCCTTCCTTTACAGATATAGTAAATGGCAACAAGAAATTGCAAACAATTTGGAGCCCGCAGTGGGTTAAACCGCTGAGCTGCTGAACTTGTTGACCAAAAGGTCGCAGATTCAAATCTGGGGATCAGGGTGAGCTCCTGCTGTTAGCCCCAGCTTATGCCAACCTAGCAGTTTGAAAGCATGCAAATGTGAGTAGATCAATAGGTACCGCTCTGGAGGGAAGGTAACGGCGCTCCTGACCGAAAGGTAGCAGGTTTGAATCTGGGGAGCGGCATGAGCTTCTGCTGTCAGCCCCAGCTTCTGCCAACCTAGCAGTTCAAAAACATGCAAATGTGAGTAGATCAATAGGTACTGCTCTGGTGGGAAGGTTACGGCACTCCTGACCAAAAGGTAGCAGGTTCGAATCTGGGGAGCGGTGTGAGCTTCTGCTGTCAGCCCCAGCTTCTGCCAACCTAGCAGTTCGAAAACATGCAAATGTGAGTAGATCAATAGGTACCGCTCTGGCGGGAAGGTAATGGTGCTCCCGACCGAAAGGTAGCAGGTTCGAATCTGGGGAGCGGTGTGAGCTTCTTCTGTTAGCCCCAGTTTCTGCCAACCTAGCACTTTGAAAACATGCAAATGTGAGTAGATCAATATGTACCGCTCTGGCGGAAAGGTAACGGCACTCCTGACCGAAAGGTAGCAGGTTTGAATCTGGGGAGCAGTGTGAGCTTCTGCTGTTGGCCCCAGCTTCTGCCAACCTAGCAGTTTGAAAACACACAAATTTTTCATAATATTATTATTATGCAAATGTGAGTAGGTCAATAGGTACCACTCTGGCGGGAAGGTAACGGCACTCCTGACCGAAAGGTAGCTGGTTCGAATCTGGGGAGCGGCGTGAACTTCTGCTGTCAGCCCCAGCTTCTGGCAACCTATCAGTTCAAAAACATGCAAATGTGAGTAGATCAATAGGTACCACTCTGGCGGGAAGGTAACTGCACTCCTGACCGAAAGGTAGCAGGTTTGAATCTGGAGAGCGGCGTGAGCTTCTGCTGTCAGCCCCAGCTTCTGCCAACCTAGCAGTTTGAAAACATGCAAATTTTTCATAATATTATTATGCAGATGTGAGTAGATCAATAGGTACTGCTCAGGCGCTTCATGCAGTCCTATGGCCTTGGAGGTGTCTATGGACAACGCCGGCTCTTCAGCTTAGAAAATGAGATGAGCACCAACCCCCAGAGTTGGACACAACTGGACTTAATGTCACGAGAAAACCTTTACCTTAATTGTAAACAACAAACAACAGTAAACATTTTGTTGTTGAAGGAATCATTGGGTTGCTCTGAGTTTTTCAGGCTGTATGGCCCTGATCCAGAAGCATACTCTCCTGATGTTTCGCCTGCATTTGTGGCTAATGGCATCCTCAGAAGTTCTGTTGACAGTGAAGCAAGTGGAGTAGGCTGTTAGGAATGGTGGGAGTTGGAGTCCAAAACACCTGGAAGGCCCCAGTTTGCCCATCCAACCTTTGGATTCCTTACTCGCAAACATGAGTCACCTCCCTTGAGAGGATTTCGGGGCTGGGACCCCCACCCTTTTTGAGGGGGGGTCTCCTCTACACTCTTTGGGGGTCTCCCCTTTCCTCCCCTCCCTTTTGGCGGCTCTGGATCGGGTTCCTCGGCGACCCGGGCCCAGCTGTCGCCCATCGCTCATCCTTCCATTGCCTTTGGCAGCCGCAACCCACCCCTCTTTAATCCTTCTTAGGCAAGCCCCTCCTCTCTGTCAGCCTTGGGAGGGGTCTGCTGTGGTTGCTCAACCTGATGGCACCCCCTCCTCCTCACCTTTCCTTGCTGGGGGCTGGGAAAGGCACTCTGCGCATGCCCAGGGTCTCCTTCGCCATTCCTGGGTGACAGCAACGGGTCGGGTTTCGCAGCCCACCCCTCGAAACCCAGCACCGTGGTGCCTCTGCTGCTTCCAAGGAAGATGAATGATGGGGAGGGGTCAGGGCGGGGGGCACCTTGGAGAGGGGCCCCTCCTCGGTCATGCTCCTGGCGGATAATGGGCCCTGGCTCCAAGATAGAGCCCCCAGGGAAGCTGAGGAAGACCCCTCCCCACATACACACACATACTTTGCCTGTGGCTGAATGGGGGAAGGGAGCTGGGGGGGGGGTCTCCCTTTCAGGCTTGGTGAGGAAGAATGATGAGGATGATGACAGTGGGATATACGGTCGATATAGATATACCTAAACATAGATACAGATAGATGATATAGATACATAAATATGGATAGCCATGATATAGATTATATAGTTATTAGATACAGATCTATAAATGATAAAGCTATAGATACAGATGCAGATTCAGATATATAGATATACAAACAGAGATGCAGATATGGCTAAAGATACAGATTTATAGCTATAGATGCAGATAGAGGTCTAGAAATAGCCATAGATACAGATATATAGATATACATACAGACAGAGATACAGATATAGCTATAGCTAAAGATACAGAAATAGCTATAGATAGAGATACAAAAAGCTATAAATACATATAGAGATACAGATATAGCTATAGGTAAAGATACAGAAATAGAGATAGAGATACAGAAAGCTATAAATACATATAGAGATACAGATATAGCTATAGCTAAAGATACAGAAATAGCTATAGATACAGATTTATCTAGATATACAATCAGCTATAGATACAGATA